AAAAATGATTTTGTCATTTGGGAGTTGTAGTTGCTGGGATTTATAGTTCACCAACAATCAAAGAGCATTCTGGACTCCACCAATGTTGAAATTGAACCAAACTTGGCGCACAGAACTCCCATGACTAACATAAAATACTGGAATTGCAGGGTCAACTTGGAGAGGAGAATGCATCACAGCAATATAATGCTGTCCACTGAAGTTAGCTGTTATACAGATGCATTGTCCCTGCAGGAATGATACTGTGCAATTCTTCCAATTCAAACTTTTTCTTATTATTATTTCAAAGGACTGTGGCAAAGTAACTCTACTCTTAAACCGGATATTCAGGGATTTGATACTGCACTTCGAATTATAGAATAGAATCATAGAATCAAAGAGTTGGAAGAGACCTCATGGGCCATCCAGTCCAACCCCATTCTGCCAAGAAACAGGAATATTGCATTCAAATCACCCCTGACAGATGGCCATCCAGCCTCTGTTTAAAAGCTTCCAAAGGAGGAGCCTCCACCACACTCCGAGGCAGAGAGTTCCACTGCTGAACGGCTCTCACAGTCAGGAAGTTCTTCCTAATGCTCTGGGGCAATCACCTCTCTTGTAGTTTGAAGCCATTGTTCTGCGTCCTAGTCTCCAAGGAAGCAGAAAACAAGCTTGCTCCCTCCTCCCCATGGATCCTCTCACATATTTATACATGGCTATCATATCTCCTCTCAGCCTTCTCTTCTTCAGGCTAAACATGTCCAGCTCCTTAAGCCGCTCCTCATAGGGCTTGTTCTCCAGACCCTTGATCATTTTAGTCGCCCTCCTCTGGACATATTCCAGCTTGTCAATATCTCTCTTGAATTGTGGTGCCCAGAATTGGACACAATATTCCAGGTGTGGTCTAACCAAAGTAGTAGTATTACTTCCCCACTTGTACGCAGTTCTCCTGTGTTATTCTAATAATATAATATAATATAATATAATATATTGTAGATACATATAATATTAATAATATTATAATGTAACGCATTATAATACTACTAGTAGTAGTAATAATAATAATAATATATTATAATTATATATTTATATTACATGTAATCTTACTAATAGTATTACAATATAATTGGTACAGTACAATACAGCAATATTTAAAACCAATATTGTACTATGCTAATAATATAATATATTGTATGTTATATACCTTGTAAGCTGCTCTGAGTCCCCTTTTGGGTGAGAAGGGTGGCATATAAATGTCGTAAAAAAATAAATAGGCGTCTCAGGGTATTGCATTTGCAGAAGAGAAAAGGCAGTGTACTTGCAGATGGGTTATTTTAAGCAATGATGACACAAATTGAAATAGCACATTTGTTCAGTGGGAGGGGGAACACTTCTTTTTTAATCCAAATGTCAATGCCTTCTAATATTCACTTTCTCCCTGCTGCACTAACTTCTCACAGAAGAAACAATGAACTGTATGATCCCTACTAGCATTTGCGTTTCAAAGGAAACTTGGGAGAGCCCAACCTCTTCTCCCTCCACACATAAATTGCCTGAAACACTCTCTATGACAGCGTTTCTCAACCTGGGGGTCAGGACCTCTGGAGGGGTCACGAAGGGGTGTCAAAGGGGTCACCAAAGACCATCAGAAAACACAGTATTTTCTGTTGATCATTGGGGTTCCATGTAGGATGTCTGACCCAATTCTATCATTAGTGGGGTTCAGAATGCTCTTTGACTGTAGGTGAACTATAAATCCCAGCAACTACAACTCCCAA